TGAAATCCTATCCCTATAAGCGAGAAAAGTATAGTCTGTTTGCCGTGCAGCCGATTTCATCGGCCGTCAGGCCGAAATTTCGCGCTGATTTGCCACTTCGGCATGGAGGTGGAGAACCACATTTGTCAGGACACGCATTTTTTCGTTTTTCGAAATTCCTTTGTTTAACGAATTTACAAACAACAAAATGGTGAAAATCCTAACAAATGGGCTACGAGCCGTGGTGTCCGGGCCGCCAACTTCAGAAGCCCTGATGGAATTTCCGGTCTGTAATTTGGACCACTGATGTATTCCTTGATAGTGTGGATCACGCGCATCTTATTAGTTTTGGAAATTATCCAGGCGCATTCAGACTAAAAAAAAAGCTTTTTGTAAAGTTACCAGGAAGCTCTCTCCCGGGTTAACCACGCCCCCAGCACAGAAGAGGCCTTTCCCGCCACCCTTCCCCATGCCGTCTTTGGTATAATGGCTAGAAGCCCGGTCCACCACCCGCATAGGCGAGGGTTCGGATCCTCGGCAAATTTACCTTTTTGCTTTTTGATAGTTCAACAACACAACATATTTCGAGGCTGTCGGTATCCGAGATTCAGGCCAGTCCCTCGCTCTAGCGCCGAAGGCCAAAGCAACGGTCCTTGGCCCAGGCTCTAGCGCCGCAGGCCAATATGCTGGGAAAAACCAGTAGCTAGCGCCGCAGGCCAGAGAATGGTCCCTAGAGTCAGGCTCTTGCGCCGCAGGCTTGGAAAACGGAAGGGAAATATATGGTTCCTAGACGGGGGCCAGTGGAAAAGGGCCGCGAAGCGGACATTTTCCACTGGTATTAATATAATCCATATAAATCACTTTAATGTCCTTTCTCTAGATTCTTCGCTGCTAAGCCCTACACCCTATGCGCCAATGTCATCCATGCCACTGAGGTGCCGGCTGAACGCATCACCCATGAAGGTGAGCAACACCCTATTTTTACGCCTTTTAAGGGAGCATGAAGCCATGCTATAATTTCAAACTCTATACCTATTTTTAGACAAAGACATCGGCTCCAAGGGCATGATGTACTACATTAACGACGGCGTCTACGGCTCGTTCAACTGCATCCTGTTCGACCACGTCCACCCCGTTGGTCATCCACTACGTGCGAAGCCCGGCCGTGAGCCGAGGGTCAGCACCATCTGGGGCCCAACCTGTGATAGCCTCGATATGATTGAGGTGAGTTACTTGCCTTGACTTTACTTTATCAATTTTAAAAATTACACAAGTCTTTCACTTAAATTAATTTATTAAACTGTATGTTAATTTCAGGACAAGAAAATGATGACCCCTGTTGGAGTCGGTGACTGGCTGGTCTACCCGGAAATGGGTGCCTACACCTCGGCCGCTTCAACCACCTTCAACGGCTTCCAGCGCCCCAACATGATTTATGCCATCTCCCGCACTAACTGGTTAGTTTTGTTCAAATAAATTTCTCTTAAAGCGGTTGTTTTATTTTATTTTTATTAATTTTAATTTTGTTTGAAGCCTTTTACCTCTATTCCATTTTTCAGGGAAACCATCGCTGACCTTCTCTAAGAAGTCGCCAACATTTCCAACTTCCGGAATCATTCCTATCTTGAAGTTTTTCATTCTCCTCCCTCTTCCTGCCTACCCCCGCATATCACAATCAAGTGATTCTGTTAATCTATTTATGGAATAAAGTTTTTATTTTTCTACAATTCTTGAAATATACACAACCAGTGGAAAAAGACCGCTTCGCGGCCATTTTCCACTGGACCCCGTCTAGGAATCATCAATTCCCTGTCCTATTATTGAGGTATGCAGCAAGAGCCTGACTCAAGGAACCATTCGGTTGCCATTCCGCGGCGCTAGCTACTGATTTTTCGCTCGGATTTGCCTGCGGCGCGAAAGCGTAAGTCAAGGACCTTTTCTTACCTGCGGCGCCAGACAGCGTTGCGTTAGAATCTCTGAGCCTGCGGCGCTAGTTACTGGTTTTTCTGATGAGATTTGCCCTGCGGCGCGAGAGCCTGGGTCAAGAACCCACGCCATGCCTGCGGCGCCAGAGCCTGGGCCAAGTACCTTTCCTTTGGCCTGCGGCGCTAGAGCGAGGGCCAGGCCTGAACCTCGCATACCGAGAGCCTAAGAAGAAGTTTTGTTGCTGAACTACCAAAAAGCAAAAGGTTGAATTCGGCGCGGATTCGAACCCCGGACCACGCGCTTGTTAGGCCGGACGCCAATCCACTACACCACGGGGCGATGGTTATGGGCGGCGGGAAAGCCCTCTTCTTGTCCTGGGGGCGGCCTCACCCCGGGAGGGCGAGCTTCTGGCAACTTTACAAAATTCTCTTTTTGAATCTAAATGCGCCGAAAATTTGTAAAAATAATAAGATGCGCGTGATCCCCACTATCGAATACATAAGTGGACCAAATTACAGACCAAAATTCGATCTGGGCTTCGAGTTATGGCCCGGACACCACGGGACTGTGGCCATTTTATTAAGGACCTTCTAGTAAAATGCTCCTAAAAACTTTATTTTAACGAATTTGGCAAAATCCAGAAAATAGTATCGGGAGAATTGTTTCTTCCATTCACCTCCAAAATCAGCGCCCAACTCCTCTCTTTAGTAGCGGCCGAGAAAACCTCCGGACATACCTTTTTTTCAGCGAAATGTTAAGGATTTTTAACTATTTTAGTTGTAAAATCGTCAAATGAAGGAATTTCGCAAAACAAAAAAATGCATCACTGACAAATGTGTTTCTCCACCTCCGTGCCAAAAATCAGCTCGAAATTCTGGCCTGACGGCCGAGAAATCGGCTGTACAGAAAACAGACATACTTTTCTCGCTTATAGGATAGGATATACACACAACTCATCCTTGTCAATAATTCAGAAGAGCGAGGGAGACCGAGCTCGGCTCCTCGTGCCAGGGTTTGTTTATGCCGAGCGAGGAGGTTGTTCTGAGCGAAACAACGAAAAAAGCTAGCGGAAAGCATGGGAGGCATAAGTTTTTGCATGGATTGCGGGTTAAGTCAGAGTTTTATTGATTTTCGCGTCTTCAAAAGTTATAGAAATTGCGAAAATGGCATTTTGGGTTGAATTTTTGTTTTCCGTCTAAAAAATTAACTGTCCATAGCTACGCTACACACCAAAATACACGTACAGGCGCGCAACCCAGGCGAAAAGCTGCAGTCTGACACTTCCTAGTCCCTTTAAAAGTCTATTTTAGTATTTAAATGATTTGACAATCCTATTAATAAATATGCAGTTTAGTTCACAACGGTTTTCTCCCTTAGAATACCAGCTAAGTTTTTGGCGTTTTTTCACATTTATAGATTTACCCATAAGCGTAGTCTCTATTTCAGCTTGATGGTCCCTTTAAAACGCGTGAATACATTCTACTACTCATGTAACTGCCGTTTTGGGTTTTTTGGCTTTAAGACATTAAACTAAAAGTATACCACCCGTTAAAGCACTTTCCCATTACTGGAATCCACTACTAAACTTATCCCCTACACCTTTCCATCTCCAAGGTGCCATTTTGCACCATTAGCACCTAGGGGACCCCCGAAGGCGACGGCTGGTGTGAAGAGTCCGTTCACAATAGCCCCACCGCGGAATCTGAGCCCAACAATACCGCCAAAGAGGTAAGAGAACGGCAGATCATATTTCTCAACCACCGCCACCGTTCACACCATCTAGCACCCCCTCATCTCACACATATCCCCCGCTTGCTATTTCATAATTTGGTTAGTTTAAGATAAATTTGCATAAATCTCATATCTGGGTATAATAAGTTTTTGTTCTTTCATGCTCTCTAACAAGGAGTCGTTTTTAGGTGCTTTTGGAGTTTCGGGACGGGACCTAGCTAGTTCGATAGAGAAAAAAATTCTGAGCAACATACCATTTTCAAAAAGTGCTGATCGATAAAGGTGTTTTAGAAAATTCAATTTAATTAAAAACGTTCCCGGTATCCGGACCCTTGAGGTGATTTGGGGTGATTTGCGGCGGTCGACCGCCCCTGCCACATGGGGACTTCACGCGCCCTGGATCCCGTCCTAGACATGGCCAAGTGGCTAGTGCTTCGGCCTACGAAGTTTTTTTTGGACTTTGCCACAAGTTCGATTCTTCTTTATCGTTAACTTTTTGCTTTTTTGCTAATTAAAATTTTATGCGCCGATAACGGGTTCAAGAACCAAAAAGCAAACGGTTAGCCAGCGCGAAGATTCGAACCCGAGGCAAAAAATGTTAAAAAGTTGGTAGGCAAGCGCGCTACCAATACGCCAATGCAACCTGCGATGGAGGCATTGGCGGAAGGTTATGAATGAAGCCTTCCCGGGCCGGAAAACGACTTGAACCGTGGAAATCGATCCGAAAACGAGAAAATAAGCGCGAACTTTAAATTTGGTGCTCTAAAATTCCTTTATCGATCAGCACTTTTTGAAAATGGAATGGTGTTCAGAATTTTTTTCTCTATCGAACTAGCTAGGTCCCGTCGTGAAACTCCAAAAGCACCTAAAAGCGACTCCTTGTAAGCAATCGAAAGGTATTAGTAAATCTTTCGTTCATTGCTCCTTTAAAATAAAATTGTGGAATAGTGCGTTCCAGTTCGGTTATAACGAAATTTTACGTTTCTGCTCATCAATTTGCATGCCTAGTACCCTTATATTAGAATTCTCTCGGTTTTAAATCCAAGGCTTTGCATCATAAGGTTGATGCCTGGTTTTCCCGAATTGATTTTATTGGTAACATCAAATGCTGTAGAAAATTGCGATTAATATCGCGTGCAAAGGTATAATTTTAACCTGCTGAAGGTTGATTTACATCCAGATTTGATTAAAGCAAGGTATTTTTGATTTTTCAAGAATTTAATGTATTTTGGAAGCTACAAAAGCTTTTTTTTGCTTTAATAGGCCTTGAAAACCAATTTTTTCATTTCGATATAGTTCTGCTAATATAACCCTGGATAACTTAGAGCGCTAGAAGTCGATTTGCAAAGCTGGCAGGTATCTTGACAATCAATTTTTATAAATCCTCTGATTTCTAAAAATCCTATATAATATCTTTTAAACCCCCATCCGATCATCACGAAAGAAATCCATCAGCTATACAAATGCGGGCAATGCGGTGTGAAAGCCGTCAAAAATAGTTGGTAAGGGCCCGCGAATGTCCCGAGGGACCGCTGCGGGACCCATACGGACAACGGCCCACCCGAGAGCTTCGCGCAAAATCCAATGTTTTCCGCTCTTCGCATCTCTATATTCTGCAAAATTCTATACGGGTCCAATAGTAGTTATAAATTTACAATTTCCTAGGAAAATAATACAACACTTTGTTATTAACACATCAATAAGTTTTCGGTGTGGCGCTACAAACTACATGCTATAAACGTAAGGATTTAGTGCTTTTTGACCCTTACGGGCGCCAAGCTGTACTTTTTTAGAGCCCTGGCGGTAGCTGATATAATCCAGAAATACATTAATTACCTTCAATAAATTTCAGTCGAGCTAAAAATAGTTATTTCCTGCTGTCATTAATGCAGAAATTAGTTTTGATGGATACATGCAAAAAAGAAACTCTTATTTTAAGTTTTAAGATTTTTGAACCCTCCTGGAAGTTCACTGAAGCTCAGCTCCTGCAAAAATGAAGGAGCAAGAGAGCAATTCTCGTTTTTTACGGGTCCATCAAAAAGATGTTCCATCTTTTGCGTTTTCTCCCGTCCTTTAACTCTCTCTCTCTCTCTCTCTCTCCTCTCTCTCTCTCTCTCTCTCTCGGTCTCTCTCTCTCATCTCCTCTCGCTCTCTCTCGCTCTCTCTCTCTCTCTCTTTCTCTCTCCCTAGATTTTATTCGAAAACCTCCACGCGTTTAGGGATGCATGAAGAGAAAGGGCCACTCGAATCTTGCCTTCCGTTCGTGCCGAGACCCATTCTATCGTTGACATGTTGAGCCTCATTTTTCGGCTTGCCCTCCCCCCAGTTAAGGAGAAAAGAAGGGCAAGAGGGTCTCCATTCATCCATTAGGGCCAAGCTAGTCTGTTGTTCCCCCAATTATGGGGAGGTAGCCGGGAGGCCCTCATTTGACTGGCTGTTCCCTTTAGAATTGAGGCAGCGGCACGGGTCACAAAGCTTCCGCTTCGCTGATTTATTTCGTTTGTAGTATTAGCTCGTAATCTAAGCTTTTTGTTGTTTAAAGGGCCAGTGAAGAAAAATTTATGTTGTTTTACAATGTGTTATCTTTTTAATCGGGCCAATGAATCCAAATTTTTACGGTTTTTTAGAGTTTCTCCACTTTCAAAGACCCATTGAAGCCAAATCTCTTGCTTGATCTGCTTTCAAGGGTTATTGAAGTCAAATCCATAAAGCTCTTCCGCTTTTCTTGCCTTTTATTTGCACTTTCCGGCGATTGTCCGACTAATTGTATATTTTTTATGTTTTATTCTCAAGCCAGAGTTCCATTTTTTAATTCCTTAAAATCAATGCTTTCAGTAAATGACTCGATAGATGCCAAATGGGATGCTCGTGCGCATTTTCTGCCTACTTTCCGCCTATTTTGGAGTGGCATACGGTAACCTCTAAATACTCCTCGTCTTATCCCAATTCTTAGCAACTGGTTGCTACAGATGCGTCTCAAAAGAGGATAGCCTAGACCCAATTACAAGGATTCAAATCCGAAACCAGATTGACACTTTTTTCGTGCCGGTCGAAGCCAGGTAAGCAAAGCGGAGTTTAACTTCAAACTACAATGCTCTACAGATCTCCCGGATGCTCTCAAACCATTGATGAAGATACGCCAAATGTTGAGCTGCAGCTCTGTTCAGTCTTTCCATATTGTGTCACATTGATGCCAAATGTGCCTAGTAAGTATTAATATATAAACTATATCCTAAAATTTACTTCAGATTCCACCTATGTCGTTCGGGGCTGCTTTGAACTAACCCTCCGCTCAAACCTTCGTGAAAATCAGGCACTCCGCGAGGCACCAGGGTAATTACGATTTACTTTCAATTCTCAAAAAATTAGACACACTACCGTAATCAGCGTGGGCACGCGCTTTAGCGATGACAGGAAATTGGGTATCCCTCGAGGGGGATGGACATTTTTTGGTGTTTGCCGAGGCTTGAATAATTCGGCCAATTGAGGCGGCTGGGGAAGTTTGAATAATAATGTTGGGTGGTGGTTCTTAGATCCGGGGCGGATGGGCTATAAGCTTTCCCAAAGGGGATTAGCCGGGGGAAAATGGGGAGAAGAGCAAGGGTTCAATCCGCCTCGGGAGGAGGCACCAAGAACTCGGAAGTTGTAGTTGGAATGGGATAGAGTGACGAGGAGTTTTTGGAATCGGGGTTCTTTAATCTTTGTAATAATAGTACCGTTTTTTAAACGACAGTGAAAGAGGGAGAGCTTGGACAGAGAGAGACAGAGAGAGACAGAGCGAGAGAGAGAGAGAGAGAGAGAGAGAGAGAGAGAGACAGAGAGAGAGAGAGGGGGAGGGAGGGAGGGAGGGAGGGAGAGCTATCACGAAATTTTCGAACAGGATTTTGGTGTTTCTTGTAGTTTAAGGACTTTCTATGAGAGAGGGAGAGAGAAAGAGAGAGAGAGAGAGAGGAGAGAGAGAGAGAAATGGACGCTATACTTGTATAGCTTTTCGAATTACTGTGAGATCATAAAATATAACTTTTCCATACAAAAACACTAGCAAAAAATAACTGTAGATACTTTATGTGATCTACTCTCTTAATGCATTAACAAATAACTACCGTATTCCTCAAATTTTACGAAATTCCAGCTGCTTCCTGATCAAATCACGCCCCGGCGTCCCAGCCAATTCGACCCTGAACTACATCGTCTGCATCTGTGAGGGCGACTACTGTAACTACGAGCCGATACCCCATTTTGAAGACATTTCATATATGGATCCGAGAAAGGTGAGCGTTTACTGGAAGAAGCCGACAAGTGAAACCCAGCAAAGAGATGCAGCTGGAGTATGGTTTGAGTTTTGATTATGGCTTGTGAAATCGAGAATAATGTAGATTTAAGTTTCAATCGATCCTTGTAAATCTTAAAGATTTTATAAAAGTTAAATAAGGTTTTTAGCCAATACAACGCCTCGCTAACCACAACGGGACCCTGCAATTTGTAAGCAGCTCTTCCTCCCCAAATTTATTAATTTTTTATGTCATGCTCGGTATGGCTTATTTCATAAAATAAAATATTTATTACAAGTTACCTTATTTTCAGATATTAGTCTTCAGGGCTAGTCACAACCCGTGAGAACACGGGATTGGCCGGTGTGGGAATTGAGGCTAGGAGAGTACAAACAATTAGGGAGTCTGACCGAAAATGCAAATTCAAAGAAAGTTAAGGGACAGATGCATAATTTTAAAGCATAGATCAACGAAGCGATAATTTCCGAAGTTGATTCGTGACCGGGGTCAGCGAATCGGCGCTGAACAGTTTGAATTCGTACTCGACGCCGAGGGATTTTCGGGCGCCAAGGGGTGTTTTGTGAGGGGCCAGTGAGTTCTTGCTCTCTTCTTTTGGCTTGGAGACGGAGAATGTGGGGGTGATCGGGCGTTTTTCGAGGTCGGGTGCTGGAAATACTATATTTAACTTTGTTAGAAAGTTCATAATTGAAAAACCGTACCCTAGCTATGCTTTACAAGCCTAAAAACTTTTGAAACACTCACCGGAAGCTGAATTCTTCTTGAGCTCATGCTCACTCGGCTCGTAGAGACTCTGGCGGGAGCCATCTGTAGAAAAAGGTTATTATTGCTTCCCGGATACTCTGTGCCCAGTCTACCGTAACCGGGGGGGCTAATCCCTCAACATCACTATCAATGGGGTTTAGTTCAGCGACTACAACAATGCGTTAAAAAGATGGAAATGTACTCACAAGGGCTTGGGGAGCGGATTCGATCTTGATCCTGTTCGTTGAGTGAATTTGTTGACGAGATCGTTAGTCTAAAATGCAAGATATAGAATTATGTTATATCGGATTCATTCTAAAGCAATAAATTCAGCAAAAGCTAGATTAATAAACCTACCTTGGGGAGCATACCGATTTCGATCGTCTAGGTTCAAGGCAGACTGGTGAGTGGCTGCGATTCATAAGGCCGTCCAGCGATAGTTCGAATAACATTTTTATCTACAATTCTTTATTTAATGCTTAAATATATAGTAAAGTCAAAATTATAGAAAACTGAATACAGTAACCCCCAAGACACCTATACCCAAAACCCAAATCCAGGAAATTGGACCGGAAGCAGTCCCCAAAAGCCTTGAGGACAAAATCTGAGGAGAAGGCCGAGGGGTCCAGCGTGCCTTTTATCCAATTTATAAGCCACGCCCCGGTACCGATGGCCCGGGGCGATATCCACGAAAAAGTTAATCCAGCCTCCATCCCCCTCCAGGGAGGATCCCCGGATTTTGAGGGCCAAATAACCGGATGAAAATTGGTCGAGAAGGCCGTGGAGATGGATACGGTAGGTTTTGGGGATGAGGAAATGGCTGTGGAAATCTTAAAAAACAAGTATTTGCGATCGACCACCTGATACCTGATTTCCCCCTGATTGTTTGGCCTTTCGTCTACGTGCCTTGGTTTCTTCACTTTTCCATTTCATCGAAACGGCATTTGAGATATAAAGAAATTAGAAGGCGCGTAAAAAATATATAACTCAATTTCAATATAAAAATTAGCAGAGAGAGAGAGAGAGAGAGAGAGAGAGAGAGAGAGAGAGATAGAAAGATAGAGATAGAGATAGAGCCAGAAAGAGAGAGAGATAGAAAGATGGAGAAAGAGAGAGAGAGAGAGAGAAGAGAGAGAGAGAGAGAGAGAGAGAAGAGATAGAAAGAGAGAGAGCGAGAGAGAGAGAGAGAGAGAGCCAGAGAGAGAGAGAGATAGAAAGATGGAGAAAGAGAGAGAGAGAGAGAGAGAGAGAGAGAGAGAGAGAAGAGAGAGAGAAAGCGAGAGAGAGAAAGCGAGAGAGATATGATGCGCATGCAAATCCGAAATTTAAAAAACGCGGAACAGCATGCAAATCAAAGACCAGAATTTTTATAGAGAAAAAATTTTCGGGATCGCCCTTGGATTCCATTAAATTAACGTGTCCTCCCCATTTCTGATTTTTTTGCATCAAAATCTCATCCCATGGTCTCCTCCTCTTTTTATCGGAAAGCTTAAAATCCGTTTCCGGAATCATAGAAACAACCCTTGACTCAAAGCACCTCCGCCCAGCTTTTCTCAAGCTACACCCCACGCAAAATATTTTGGAGAACACGCTAGCGGTGCCGTTTTGTCATCCAATGCTGACAGCATGGAAATCCCAAGGTGGATCAACGGATTGGCTGCGGACCTGTAAATAGATCCTAGACCGGATATCCGCATCAGAAATACCAGAACAATCCGCCTGGGCCTCCCTGAAAAATGGATAAGTGCTGTAGGCTGATAGAAATATTTTTTTAGCTTGAAAGAACTGTGAAAGTAATTATTTCATGGCCTATTACCGCGCCTAGCTATGAATCTATTATGTAGAGTCATCAACTAGGAAATTGAAAGATACAAAACGAATATGTTATGTTTTGGTTTCGAGGCCTCGACAGGTGGTTATCAAAAATTCAGATCCTGTTTTGTGCTTTTATACGCAAATTTCGAAAGTGGACGGATTTTCCGAATTCTATTAATAAATGTAATTTTTTGGCTTTGCCTGTTTTTTACGTTATGTTTAAGGGTTGAGAAAACGACAATATTTTTTACAGCGACCGCTAGAAACAAACATTATATTTAGAGGTATGTCCCCACTTTTTCCGATTTGAAAATTTCTCGAGTATCCCCGCAAAGAATTTTTATTTTATCCCCAAGCCCCGATTTGCAAGAAATTCCAAATCAAAGGTCATCCTCGCCTTTTTGCTGTCCCAATAATCATCCTATCATCATCATCAATCCACTGTAACCTATCCCCCAGACACAGTAAGCCCTCGATAAATGACGAAAAGTGCGATGGAGTGATCGTTAACATAAAGCACAAAGAGTATGCTGACAATGAGAATCGTAGGTGATGATAAAATTTTTACAATGCCTTTTCGAATTTTTCAGCTGCCTGGAAGTGGCCAATTCTCAGCGGTAACTGACCAACACCTGGTGCCCCCAAATCCCCAAATTTAGGCATCACCAAAGTAATCCTCCAATACTAGAGAACAATCGTCAGAAGACCTTTTTCTACAGGGGTCCTGCAGGGAAGGACGAATCTACGCAACCGTTTTTGGGGTCTCATCCGTACTCTTTGGCGCGTCAAAAGTTGGGAGTTAGCTTTTTCGGGGGTTTGGGGATTATCCGGGTGTTGGGCCTCACCACCAAGGTTTTCCACACGTGAGAGCCGAGATTTACGCGCGGATAAACAGAACATTTTCCACGGGAGTGATATTGCCTGAAATTAACTCGTCACGGTTTTGGTGATAATAAACAAACGTGGTGTTGGAGTATGGTAACGAGGTTCTAGGCTTTTTTTTCAGGTGCTTGAAAATTTTTTAGAATGCTATGGAAGACTCGAGATTACTGTAGAAAACTCTACAACCCCGTAGAACACTTAAATTATCTTTAAAGTAGTATAACACCATTTGAGAATGGTGTAAAATTGAGAAACATAGTGTAAAACCCTTTATTATTGCCAAGCATCACGCAATTGCCGAAAATATATCTCGTTCTCCTGCTCAATCGGAAAGCTCATCCTCTCCCCAAAAGAATTCCGCACCGGTGTCACCTAAATAAATATACTAGAAAACTGGCGCTCACATACTCGAGTACCACTCCTCTTCAGAAAACTTTTAACAACAGAGCGTAATGTCGGCTCGGCAAGCAATGTCAACCACATTTGTACAAATATCTAAGTTAGGTAATTTGGCGAATTTAGACATTATAAACTAACCTGCGCTTGAAAAATAAAAAACAAGAAAAAGGCATTAATATACTGTCCTTCCGGTGGTGCCCCATCGATCATCACATTATACCAAATAACCACGAACGAACTTGTAACGCATTTGTAGGGGGATAAATAGAGGAATAATATTGAGGTTTTGTAGTTCGACATTGTTTGATAGCTAAAAATTACGCATAACAATCAATTTGTGGCATCTACTACCGCTTCTCCACCGTCACATAACGAGTCTTCAGCACCATTTGATATTTTCTTTTACATACAAAATATAGTCGCACGAAAAACGAAAGCTAACAAGGGAACCTCGAGTTGGCACGGTGGAGTTTCGAAAAAACGCTCGCGGCTACCCCTAGGTTTTCGACTATGGCGATTCCAACCCTCTAGTCAGAATTTCCTAAATGGGCCTCTGGACAGAGATACAGCACTTCCGGAAAATGATGATTTACATCCAAAAAATTAGCATTAGCGATAGGTTTATGAGGCTCTTCCATCACTATGGAATCACCAGTTGAATGGCCGATTGGTAAGCGACTCACTTGATAGAATGCTGACGAGGGTTCGAATCCGCTCACGATTTTTTTATTTTGCTGTTTGACCAGAACTTTCTGCCCAGCTCCAAGTTTTGGTTACTTCGTCGAAACAAATGCAAAAAATCTCATCCAAGTAAATCATAGAGGCCCCTCTGTAAAAAACGGAATATGGGTAGACCCCTTTTTGAATTTCGAGAACGAGTTTTCAGGATTCTTGGGAGTAATCAGTCTGGGGCCATAACAATCATTTTTCCTAGAATAAAAACAAAAACTTGGAGCTGGGCAGAAAGTTCTGGTCAAAAAGCAAAATAAAAAAATCGTGAGCGGATTCGAACCCTCGTCAGCATTCTATCAAGTGAGTCGCTTACCAATCGGCCATTCAACTGGTGATTCCATAGTGATGGAAGAGCCTCATAAACCTATCGCTAATGCTAATTTTTTGGATGTAAATCATCATTTTCCGGAAGTGCTGTATCTCTGTCCAGAGGCCCATTTAGGAAATTCTGACTAGAGGGTTGGAATCGCCATAGTCGAAAACCTAGGGGTAGCCGCGAGCGTTTTTCGAAACTCCACCGTGCCAACTTGAGGTTCCCTTGTAAGTTGTGCTATTTTTTATGATTTACAGTACCACGACCCCAATTACATAAGTTGCATACATAAAGAGAAAGCCGTAAGATCCGGGGAGTACATCAAGGTAGCATAATCCATGATTTGCTAAAATACCCGTAACCTAAATGAGTTAAAATTAGTCACTTTTGCTAGTAATTACTTACTGATGCGAAAATAAAAGATAACCCTAAATTATTAGTTTTAAACTGGCGTTCATAGGTGTCAACGTAGTGCATAGCTACCATCCGCTCAAAGGCGTAGTAGGCGGTGATCAACAGTGATCCGCCGCCGGCTAAAATTTGCTCAAAATACGGTAACAACTTACCGATTTCACTGGAAAATGTAAGGAGGTAAAATAAGGAATCATTGCATAGGTTTGAGAATATTAAAAGGTGTCTGGTGACTCGGAAACCGGTGCCGAGGAGCATTAAATAGGTTTGGCCGAGGATAAGGGCTAGTAGGTTTGGGTGGCAGAACTGAAAAACAGAATTTTGAACCTATTTCCTATGTATCATATTTATCCGGTTTCTAATTCAAAAATCCTCTTAACGCGATTAGACTCTTAAAGCCTCAAGCATAATTATTATCGTCAGCTCTTCCACTGACTCATTTTGTTATACAGAAATCGTAAGAAATTAATGACCGTCTAAACCCTTCCGGACCATCGTTCCCATACCTGCTTCCTCGTCAACAAGCGTGTGTAGAGGAAAATAAAAATCGAGAGTGCAAGAAAGATGAGCGTTTCGATGATCTATATATTTTAAAAATGAAAAGTTAGGCCTCAGGTTATAGTGAGCACCTGTAATATGCATATATATCTTTCAATGGCAGGATTTTGAACGAATACTGCGTGTTGCATTGCGGAGTTACGAGTTTTCTAAAGAACCTCAGGTTTACAAATGTTGTCAATAAGATATATTAAATACATTGATGTAAGAATAAGAGTTACCGTCGACTAAAAGCTGAATAAACGAGATGACTGAAGATCCGACCAGCCATTGCTTTCCGGGACAGGTGGAAAATAATCGCGGGGTTTGGTGGTAGGCTGGAACGTGGGTAACTAGCGGCTGGGCTCTGACTTCCTATAGTCGTACTTTGGCGGATAGGATGTGTCGAAATTTAATGAAAATGGTGGTAGAAAAAATGTTTCAAAAATTTTCTAGCTCCAGTTGTAACCCCCTTAAGAATCCAAACTAAATTATTATATGTCAATAGTTCTTAAAAAAAAAACGTTTTTAAAATACATTAATTTAAGGACAAAAGACAGATTGTTTTTTTAGGGATCGGCAGAACCGACGGCGGATTGATCGAACTGCGGCTTCCTTATGGATGTTGCCGCCCCGGTGGGTGTCGCGAATTGAACTGTATGAATATTTCTCTTTGTGGAATCACAACTATTTATTATGCCATAGCTTGAAAAGCAACGGGTGGTAATCCATTTCGTAACGGAAGTCGAGGAGCTCGCATTTATTATCTGTAATCCACGCCGGTCCCTTTCCCTTGCTATAAATTCTTGCTTTTCCGTTCCTGTCAGCCGATCTATCTTCAGATACGTTTTTTCATTGTTTTTACTTTGATAAAATACTGTACTACTTTTACCTTGCCCCATTGTCCAAAACACGAACACTGTTCTTGGCTACAACTTATCCGATTCAACCTCAGATTCCATTGCATCAAAGCAAATCACGGCTTCACCTCCCGTAATTCAGCATCAACGCATCCTTCCCCTTTAATATTTTATATTACCCCCACCCCTCCGCATCGTTTGAACAATATTTTTCTGCTGATTTTATAGCCGATCATCCCACTCTAACCACCACCTAACCGGATCTTCTGCCATTAATCAGCTGTAGGGTGAGAGATGAAACGCCTGAAAAAGGCCATCAATTGTCGGTTGATACAGGGCCAAAAGTCTGGACGGACGCGGGGTGGGGGCTTCACCTCCTCAAATGGGCCATTTCGGGGTTTCGACGATAAGCTGTACTACGCCACAGACACACGAGGCACTAAATATAGATATAGGGATCAATGGACGGTATGCTATGGCGGGTATTGACAGCCATCAGGGTGACGGCTTCGAAGTTGTGAGTAAAGTTTGGGGAATTTTGGTGGGAATTTGGGAATGCAGGATGGAATCTTTTTTATAGGTTTTTCTCTCAACGAGACAGTTATTTTAAATAGCATCGGGGCAAGCTTAAAAAAGATTTTAAAAAAGAAAACAATTTTTTACGAGCTACCATGTACCATTTTTCGCTTTTTAATTTTGCGAGATTTTCAACTCAAAAATTAAAATTTTGGATTTTCTTGCCTAGATATTAAAAAAGCAAGTTTTTCTTAAAATTCACTATCTCGTAATTCCCAATTTTAACTGCTATCATATCTAATTTTAAACACCTACTTTCCAAACCTACGTCGGCGCTGCAAACCTCCAGACAATTTTTGCGCCGTTACATCCTATTCTTAGCCCTATTTCCACCCAAAAACACGATACGTTTATCCCGGATATCAACCCTCCGTGCGCCTACGAATACCATTTCGGCTTTTCGTCCACCCCTGGCCCCTCAAAAAGCAGCCCTCATTTCCGGACCCCAAAAAAACTAAAACCCTCCACCCCAACGGCCGACATCGATTTCCGGATTTTTAGGTCTTGATCGGGTTTTTAGCTACCTGCTCCTACGCACAAACTTTTTCTCCAAAAATTCTCTAACATCTAGATACAAAGATCAGAACATAACTTAAATGCATTTCTAAAAACCATTACAATAACGTCCAAAATTTACCCCTGTTTTGCCCCAGCTGGTCTCCGGCTTTGGTTACAAAAGCGCACCCCCCGACCTCCTTCGGTAAGCCCCCAAAAATGGCCGGGTAAGCCTTTGAAAAACAAGGAACACCTCTGAAAAACAAACAGGGTAACAAAAATGGCCTCCTCAAGCTCGCCTCCCAGGCTTATCATTCAAATATATTTGTGTTTGGTGCGAGAAAGTGCGTAAGTCACACTGGCTGACTGGCCGGGTCACCACCACTACCGGCATGCCGGAGCTGCTGCCGGAAATCGTAAAGCGGCTTGGAATTTGGGGAATTGGGGAAGGGGGTGAGAATGTTGAAATTGTCATGGGGAATTTACCGGAAATGCTGGTAATTTTAGATATCTGTAAAGACGAGAGAACGACTGAAACTACCTCATCCGCCGTAACCGTTTGGACGTCTAGACGGGAAAAATCTGATGTTGAAATTCGCAACAAAACATCTAGTTTCGGCATCAAAAATCTTCCGGAAATGCCACCATTTTTCTATTTTTCTATACCTAAAAAACACCTTTTAAATCCGTTTATTTGTTTACGTCTACAAAACCAGCGGATTTTCTCTGTTGAAACGACACTCAGGAAGTTTCTAGAAACCCAGATTTTTCAGATACCTTTACAGAAACCCTAAAACCTAGTTCCTGGTTATCTTCCGGAAAAAAAACGCCTGCACGCACCCGACATTTCAATCCAATTCCGCGCCAACACCAGATTACGCCCTTCGAGAGGTCGGGTTTCGTCGTTTCTGCCGTTGCAGAACGGCCTAATCCGACCCCAAAAAAGGGTGGAATTAGCGGATGGGTCGGAATTTGACGTCTTGACCATCGGAGCTGGCCTTCTGGACGCGGTCGAGTGTAATAAATTTGTTTAATCCGGTATTGGAAAATCAAAATACGGGATTGCTGCGTAGATTTGATGTTTATGGGAATGATTGTACGTATTTGGGAGAATGAGGTGATGGTATATAAAAAATGGATTAGGAACTGGGCTAACGACTTGAGAGAGAAGGAAAGGGCGAGAGAGAGAGAGAGAGGGAGGGAGAGACCGAGGGTCAGAGAGCAAGCGCGAGAGAGACCGAGCGAGAGAGCGAGAGAGAGAGAGAGAGAGAGAGAGAGAGAGAGAGAGAGAGAGAGACCGAGGGTCAGAGAGCGAGAGAGCCGGAGAGAGAGCGAGAGAGAGAGGGAGAGAGAGGGGGAGAGAGAAATAAAAAACCGGGAGTCAGAGAACGAGAGCGCGAGAAAGAAAGAACGAGAGAGATAGAGAGACGCGAGTATCCGAGAGCGGGAGCGAGAGAGAGACACCCCAGATGCGACCTGTTCACGTGACCTAAAAGTTATCAACCTCTTTAATACCGCTACCAATACCCTTAATAGTGTTTAGCATAGACCATACCAGCACCTTAAGTTTCTTACTTAATAAGGTTTTAAATAGATACATTTTAATCTCGTCTTGATTCAGCATCCCAAACCCCAAACCACAAGATATTCTGAACAACCTGTGTCACGCTCTTAAAAATAACCTTCCGATCCTGCTACGCAGCGCTACAAATCCCCGACCTTATCAAGCACTACATCTCACTCTCACAACTACACTAATCCACGTCCAAGTTCAGAAATAGCCGCTCCGGGCAACCGGCCAGGCACCGGAAGTTGACACCTCAATAATCCTGGCTTCCGTCTGTTGTAGCGACGCATCCAACACAACGCATCTGTTTTTAGAAACAATGTAGTGACCCCCTGGATTGTGTTAATCCCATCCTTTTGGCCCGTCAATTCTGCACATACGCTGGTTCTCCCTCCAAAAGTTGGGGAAAGTGCGTAGAAGAGAGGGGCTGCCCCTGCTTCAGAAGTGGGCGGGGCCAAGGGGGGGCCCGGGTCGTATAAAAGATTGGCTCGACCCGATTCCTCCCGAGTAATCACCGAACTGAACCAGACGAGTGACTACTGTATCCATTACTGTAACTGTTTTACCAGTACTACCACTACAACTACCACTACATCTAAAGATGCTTTTCGAAATCAACTTTGACGAAACGATGCATTCGATGGCTAGCTCATCAGCGAAAGCGCTTGAGGCGACGGGTTTCAAAGCCTTCAAGCTGCCCCGAATTTCGCTACAAGTTGCTGAGCCTTTGTTATCAATTCCTGGTGAGTTTTAAGCAATACGTTCATACCCTTGGAGCCTAGTGATAGTAGATATACCACAGAGAATTCAAAAATGATTAAAAATCAGTTTTACCAATTCTAATCCAGCTTTTTCCAGACTACACGCCAATCCGACGAGTCCCATCAGCACCTCAACTCCAAAAACTCGCCCCCACCTCCGAAAAGCTACACAACACTACCCTAAACGTCTCCCAAGAACCCCGACGATTCCGCAGTTTCTCCGACATCCCAGCCGCCACCACCATCTCCCGAACGATCCAAAAGAATGTATGGTCCCTATCTGCGTTCTCACTTGTCAAAAACCTGTAATGCAGTGTTATCTTTACTTTGTATCTAGCTCTCTCACTTTCTCTCACTCTCTCTCTCTCTCTCTCTCTTTCTACACAATGTGCTACGGGCCGATCTCAGAATTGCTAGAAAACACGATCTCAAACTGAAGCTTATTTCTATAACCCACCCCCACATCTTTGTCTTTTTTCGGGTCATTTCCCCCCACCTACAACTATTAATTTCCGGCCGCCGGATTAGCGCCTCTCCCCCCACCCACAACCCGCTTTTTTCCAGGGTTGATTGGGTCGTTAATATGTTGCCCCCTTTTTGTTATGGTCAACCCACATATCCAGTAATCTGGTTAGGAAAAAGAGATAAAAGATTTTGATCTTATGGCATTGTTCTGGGCCAAGGAAAAGTTCACTTAAAAACAGCGGATTAAAATCACAAAATACAATGTCTGGGAACATGGTATTGCTGTAGGAACGTTTTAAAGGAGAATTAAAGTCAAGTGAAATTGCTTAAAAAAACGTCTAAAATAACAGTTTCAAACGGAAAATACCTTCCGTAATCTGCGTCTTCCAATTCTAAGCAAATTTTTATCATTTTTGCAAATTACATTGTCACTAAAGACTTTGACGATAGCATTTAAGTAATATATCACTGCCGTATGACAAGTTCACCCCGGCAATTTACATCATCAAAATTCTAGATGATTTTTTGTGAAAATGCCCCGAAATGCCATTGTCAACATAATTTTGCATTATATTTCACTGGTTACCCCCAATATCTAGTCTGGCTTACCGGAATCGTGCCCTTAGGTGTGCCATCTTCGCACCTCGCCAATACCCAATTTTCGATAAGCCGATTCCGCGCAATCAAATCATGAGATCCCAAAAATCATTGTTGCCCTAGCGGACACTCGGATTTTGACAACAGGCTCGCTTTAATCCAAAATCTTTTGTGACGCAGCAATTTCAAAAAAGGCTTGCTTAACCTGGACCTGAAGGGTTTTAAGGAATAGCGTTCATTGGCTTGTAGTTCGCTATAAAACCATTTTTGTGATAACGTTGGTGATATTATTATCACAATACGATTCTCTAGTTCTTTATTCGCGCCATGATCGTTATTTGCCAGCATTGTCCTTTCCGGATCAGCCAGACTTAACTTTGAGTGATTTGAGGATTGAAAATCGTTAGAACACTGGGAATTCGGTTCGGATCGCTAAGGGGGTTTACATATCACTCTATTACATTACAAATGTAAATCCGGATGGGAATGATTTTTGGCGATTTTTTTGAGCCTTCGGGGAAAGCAGATTTGGGCAAGATCTGATATTTTCCGGATTGCACAGGCTTCGATTTTATTAAAAATTTATGTAAGCTGCTATTACATGCAAAATCTTGTTAAAATCACTAAATAGCTGATATAAAAAACAATATCTCGCAGCCAAATAAAATCCCTTGATTTTTCAAGTTTTTCGTTATTTGATATTTTCAAAATTTCGTATACGTACCAGCCGTGTCATAATCTGTAACGTCATATTAAGACAAATACCACTACAACCAGGTTTTATTTTAACCACCAATAAAACACCTTCCGCATTAGCCGATAACAGCTTACAAATTTAAATCCCCAAATCTCCCAATTGCTGACAAATCCGACTACAGGCCATCTACGTAGATATTGTTCTTAAAGTACAGGACATGCCATCAAAATCTGCCCAAATACCGTACCTCCGAAATCGCCCCAAAAATTCAGCAGCTCTCCCGTAGCTTGTGTCGAATTCTCAGCGTGCTGCCTTTTTTGGAAGGGCAGCCGCCTTGTATTCCAAAGGTTTTGGGTTATTTACGACGGCGATCCATGAATTCTGGGAGATAAGGTGATGTATCGTTTCGGAGAAGATTCCACAGCACGCCTATGGACGGCGGGCGAAAATAGATTTTATCACTTTATCACGGAGGGGGCTGTCCCTCAAAAATTGTTCTGCAAAGAAATTTTGGGAGTGGCCACGTGAGTTTTAAAAAAAATGCGTTTTCCATCTAAAAGCAAATGGAGATCTTTTAAAAAATGATGAAACCGAGTGAAATACGTATGCAACCACGATTCTTACGCACTCTGGTCACTAGTCATAGTTCAGCTAAAAGGAATGACTCATTCTGCGGCAAAATATTCGCATAAAAATGCTCTGACTTGACTACGCGACGTTCCTCCTTGCACAAACCCGGCTGAACAAGCCGCCGACTGACGAATAGACGAACAATGATAAGATTTATAGAGATTTTATGTGGAAGGGAGGACGTGCGAAAATAGCGCCATCAATGGTCCGATCGGAGATGAGTGCGCTGCGTAAATGCTCTTCCAGTTTCAGTGCTTTTTAGGCAATCAAAAATCAGGAAAAAGTTGAGAACCGAAGTGGCTTGGACCTGTAAAAGTTTAATTCGATAGAATTAAGGCTTGGCTTAGGCTTGGCTAAAGCTTAGCGAGGCATGGTTTAGGCTTATGCTTAGGATTAGGCTTAGTTAGGGGCTTAGGCTTGGTTTAGGCTTGGCTTTCGCTTGAGGTTTGGCTTAGGCTTAGGCCTGAGCTTAGGTTTTAGCTTAGTCGCACGCTTAGCTTAGGCTTCATCAAAACCTAGGCTCATGCTTAGCTTGTAAACTCAATTTTGGCTGAACCTTCAACCCAAACTTATTTTTAGAAGCTATTTTGTCCATAATGATTAGTTGATCACCAAAAACACTTAAGCGTAGCTGTTTTCTTCGATATTATTTGTGTTTTCAATTTCTCGAACTCGGCTGGCCGACTAGCTGCTGGAAAAAAATGTTGTTTTGGTGTTCAACTACAATATGCAGCTGGTGGCTAGCGGTGGGCCACGGTATTATTAGTGCACCCTGTGTACCCGTCTAAAAAACACGAACCACCCTCAACACGGTGATGTTGGGCCATCTAATTCGGGGCAGGATTCCGAGTTGGGGATTATTGCTAAAGGCATCAAAGGGTAGGGACCAATTGTAAATAGCTGCAAACAGAACGCTTATAGACGGTTTTATAAGGTGAACCCTGTAGGATTATAGCCGGCATCCAAAAAACATTCTTGGCTGCAGGAGATTGACTTTGTCTATAGAAAGACTGGAATGTCAAGCACTGGTATTTATAGAGCAGACAATATTGACATCATTAATCAGAATTTGTCAGAGATTTGTGATGAATCGTTGTTTATTTTTATTGTACTTTGAAAATCTCGAAGCGCCCTTTTCCGATTTTTCCAAAAAAAACAGTCTTTGATTAATATTGTGACATTTTGGGCGCCTCACTATTTGCTGTGTGCTGTAATCGGTAGGGAACTTACGCAATTATCTATTTCACTTATTTTTCAAATTCCAGTAACCTACTATGGGCGGCGTACTGTAGTTGAATCAAATTTTGTACAAAAAATTATACCTGATGTTTTTCCGGTTGAATACCCTTGACGTGTCAATTACTGTGGTTAGGCGTAATTTTCTAAGAAGCAAATTATTTAGCGCTAAAAATTTGTAAGACTTTTATTTTTATGGTACTTTGTAGTTTATGACCTCTAAGTTGAGTTTAAGCTACTAAATTTGCCTATAAAGTATGATCTGATACCTTAGATTAGGCGTTATTTCAATATATATTTTAATTGATGATAAATATTTTACAAAGGTTTAGTTAAAAAACCCTCCGGTGTAAGCCGTGCGAACCGTTGGAAATGTGCGACGTCTGCAAATTGTCGGTATTTGTCGTTAGCGTAGTTTACAAATGTCATTATCTGCTTAACCTAGCTAGTTCGCGTTAGTTTTTGCTATGAACTTTATTTTTCTATTTATTTATGTCAATATAGCCGATCCCTCCTACATTACATTCTTAAGAGGAAGATCCGCTTTCCATTCCCCCAAGACCAGGGGAAATCAACGGATGGCTTCCTGAGCGAAGCCTTACACTGAGAATCGGCTTTGCCCCATGAGTCGCATTGGATCCTACCTCCCAAAAAATGAGGATGGTCCGTAGCCAGACGGATTGTCAGAGACGTACCAAAAGGATTAGCGACCGGATCAATCTGCTCGGACCATCTTTCGCCCTTATCTGACATCTATTTCTCTAATGAAAGTGAATTGGTTATGGGTTAGGGACTTGACGTATGTTATTAATGTTATTTCCCAGCTATGGTTTGCTAGCTATTGTCCTACAAATTTTATGCCGTACAATGATGGACGGTTGTAAGCTTATTATTTCTCCTCATTCCCAAGAATCGCTTTATTGTCCCGAAAAATTCCGGCGAATCGGACATCAATAAGAAAGGCCCGTCACTGAGGAAACCGAATACCAGCCTCACGGGATGGGATCTAGAAAAAGCATGGGAGGGGGCAAGCGGAAATTAGGAGTATTCGTACGGAGGCGTACAAAGAAGCTGTGCATCATGTGAGGGAAACAAGAGGTTTGGAGGCCAGCTATAGAGGCGAGGGAATAGGGATTTCTTAGGAAATTCGGATTACCGTGGTTATTGGGACGAGAA